GCTCCACAGCCTGTCGGAAGATTCTCAGCTCTGCTCTCTGTGCCTTTCCTCTGCATCCCTGACTCCCAGGAAGTGGTGCCCTTGAACAAGGGGCAGTTGCCCAAAGCCCCGACCTAGGCCTGAACCAATGACTGTGCCAAAAGGTGGAATGAGCTGATTAGCTGGCGGGGTCACATGCCAGCCCCTGGCTCAGGCACCTGAAGGACCTCAAGGCCCCAGGCCCAACATTAGGAAATCCAGCCCCTGTGCCTTGAAGCTGCAGGATGCTTTCTTACCCAGCCCCCATGTCAAAACCCCACCAGTTGCACATAGCATTTCAAGTCTCGCACAATGGCAACCACAAGATGTTCCATATAGATAACCCCGGGAGGGCCAAACTTGAGCAAAAAAAAAAACAAGTTTACCCCCCAGGTGACCCCGCTGCTGGATTCAGGGAAACCAATAGAAACGCTGCTGCTGTGCTAAGCTGAAAACTAACCCCCTGCTCCCTATAAAAGATCTGTGCCCCAGAGCCCAGTGTGCCAGTTCACCAAAGCTCCGGCTGAGGTTTCGCTGAGCACCCGCAGGCGCCTGTGTATCAATAAACTTGCCTCTTGCTTTTGCAGCCAGTGTCTCGTGTGGTTCGTTCCGGGTTTGGGATCTGTGGATCTTTCACACCAACAGTCTGAGACCAGCGGCTTCAAAGAAAAATAGATGTGTACTTGCCTGAAATGGGAGGTTGATTGCCACGGTAGCAAATGTGACCTGCCCATTCTACCTTCCTCTGATCCTTCCAAAATAAAGACTGGAGCCTGGCGATAGCACACACCTGTAATCCCTGCAACTCAAGAGGCTGAGATGTTAGAGTCTGTAAACAAGTCAAAAATAACACCTGGCATTTTGCCAGGGGAATGTTAGAGTTCGTAAACAAGTCTGGATGGTGCCTGGCAAAATGCCAGACGGAGTGGCTTGAGAAGCAACAAAAGCGAGCCATTAAGTGTGGAGATTCCTTATTGGTTGACTGATGTATCTAGTTTATGCTAATTAGATAAGCTGTGTGGAATGTATAAATACTGCTCCTGTCCTGCAATAAACGGCTCCCACTCCTGCTGTATCAACATACACAAGTTGTTCGTCACCCCCCGGTTATTTTGCTGCAGCCGTACTCCAGCACTGAGACAGAAGGGTTATGAGTTCAAAGCCAGCCTCAGCAATTTAGCAAGGCTCTAAGCAACTCAGTGAGACCGTATGTCTAAATAAAATATAAAAAGGGCTGGGCAGGGGCTGGGGTTGTAGCTCAGTGGTAGAGCACCTGCCTCACACATGTGGGGTACTGGGTTCAATCCTTAGAACCACATAAAAATAAAATAAAGATTATTTCCATCTAATCTAAAATAATATTTAAAAGGGGGTGGGGTGGGGATGTGGCTCAGTGGTTCAGTGCCCATGGATTCAATCCCTCCAGAATTTGCTAAGTCTCCATTGTGCAATCCCTAACGAATAATTCAGTCTCCTGTGGTCACTGGATGACACCTTTGGTTCATTGATTCTCAGCAGTGACCATGGGCGCCTTAACATCTATCTCCTTGGTACCCCATGACCAGGCCACATCCCTGTCCAATTGAATGAGAAGAGGCTGGGGGTGGGGCTCAGTGGTACAGCACCTGCCCAGCATGTGCAAGGCCCTAGGTTCCATCCTCAGCAGGGCAAAAAGAGAGGAGGAGGAGGAGGAGGAGGAGGAGGAGGAAGAAGAGGAACCTAGAGGTTCTCAAACTGGTTTTTCCCTAGACCAGTAGTGTCTTGTTAAGAACTTTCTAGAAATTCAGATTCTTGGCCCTCTCCCAGATCCCCTGAGTCAGAAGGTACCCAGTTTTTACAAGCCATCCAGAAGAGTCTAATGCATGCTCCAATTTGAGGATTGCTGGGCTAGAACAATTCCCAGAGACGTGACAATCAAACCGATGTGTGGAGCTTGTTTGGATCTTGATTCAAAGACACTCAGTATAAAAAGACATTTTTAAGCTAATCAGGAAAATTCGATGATGGCCCAGGTATTAAGTGATTCCAAGGAATTGTCGTAGGTGTGATAATGGCATTCTGGTTGTGAACACAAATGAATATATTTTTAGAGATATCTACTGAAGGATGAAGGGGAAAATGACATTGCCTGGGATTTGTTTTAAAATAACCCATCAAAATGTCTCACCACAAAAATAGAGTTTGTAAGCGAGGTGACGGGATAGGGATATGGGATATGACTTAATCACGCACGTTACTGAGCCCAGGTTCCGAGGCTCCTCCCAAGAACAACCAGCGTCCAAGAGAGGAGAGCTGGGGACAAAGAAAGGCCTTATTCAGTGGCCACACAATGAAGAAGAGGGGGCTTTGCTCACACGTCCACCTCTCCATGCTGAAGGGCCCAGGGGGTCCAGATCAGGGAAAGGAAGAGGAGGGAGAGGGACAGGCTAATGAGGGGGAGGAATATTCGTGTCTCTTCTGGGAAGGGGCAGAGAGCTTCCAGGAACTCGGGTGCCACCTCTTTTCACTCCTTTTATGGTCTGGTATTTCCGGAAGTGGCCCTTGAGTTTGATGGATGCCTTTACCTGCAGGGTTGGGGCCGGGAGACAGACTGGCAAGTCAAGGTCAAGTTAACCCTGTGTTATGGTTATGGATGAAGCATTTCTCAAAGGTTCAGCGTGTCCACCTGCAGAGGGAGGACATCTAACTCAAAAGTTAAGGCAACAGGGGGGAGGGGTGATGGAGGAAAAGAAAAAAAAAAAAAAAAGCTTATGGCACAAAGGATTCGCGACCTGCCTTTTTGTCTTATTCCAGTCACCCACCCACGGGATACCTGCAGGCCCAAATGAAGGGTGAATGTTTTCAGCCAAATTGATCTTCAGGTCCCAGAAGAGAAACCTAGGCAACTTTCATCATCGTGGCTCACACTCAGAGACCTCATCTACAGCAGAGCTGGTGCGAGACCAACAATGTATTGCCCAGCTGTGGGACCTCCAAAATTAGTGGGGCTCTTTGTTTTGTTTTTGGTACCCGGGATGGAACCCAGAGGGGCTTTATCACTAGGTCACATTCCCATCCCTTTTTATTTTTTAAAATTTTGAGACAGGGTTTCACTAAGTTGGTGAGGGTTGTACAAATTTGCTGAGGCTGGTCTTGAACTTGTGATCCTCTGGCCTCGGTGTCTGCAGCAGCTGGGATTACAGGCATGCGCCACCACACCCAGCTAAAATTAGTGATTTCTAAATTAATTAAGAGCAAGTATAACTAGAAGGTTTATGCTGGGTGCCGTGGCACATGCCTGTAACCTCAGCAGCTTGGGAGACTGAGGCAGGAAGAACGCAAGTTCATAACCAGCCTCAGCAACAGAGAGGCACTAATAAACTGAGACCCTGTCTCTAAATACAAAATAGGGCTGAGAATGTGGCTCAGTGTTTGAGGGCCCCTGAGTTCAATCTCCAGTACCTGCCCCCCAAGAAACTAAGTTTATTTATTTTTTTCCTCAATAAGATATATATATATATCAAGGGCTGGGCCTGGGGCCCAATGGTGGAGCACTTGCCTAACATGTGAGAGGCACTGGGATCAATCCTCAGCACCACATAAATAAATAAAATAACTAAAGGTATTGTGTCCATTTACAACTAAAAGAACTGGGAATGTGGCTCAGTATTTCAGCATCCCTGGATTCAATCTGTTACAAAAAAAAAAAAAAAGGATCTACATATCAAAATATTACATTGTAAATATAAAATTTACATAAATGTATAAATTATGATTTATATATGAATGAAGTCCTGAGGGTGTAGTTCATTAGTAGAGTGCCCAGGGTTCTATCCCCAGCACTGCAAATAATAATGACAACAATGCAATGCCAGGTGTGGTGGCTTACACCTGTAATCCCAGCAACTCAGGAGGCTAAGGCAGCAGGATCGCAAGTTTGAAGCCAGCTTGAGCTACTTAGCGAGACCCTGCCTCATGATAAAAAGTAAAAAGGAGCGGGCATGCAGTTCAGCGGCAGAACACTTGTAGGAGGCCCTTGGGTTCAATCCTCAGCACCACAAAAAATAAAAATAGATGAGCCAGGTGCAGTGGCACTTGCCTGTGACCCCAGTAACTCAGAAGGCCAAGGCAGGAAGTTAGAGGACACTCTGGGCAGCATAGCAAGACCCTGTCTCAAAATAAAAGATCAAAAGGGCTAAGGATGTAGCACAGTGGTAGATTGTCCCTGGGTTCAATCCCTAGTACCACAAAAATAAATAATAAACATAAAAATAAATTAAAAAACAGGATAAATAAAACAAATATGTTAAAACTGTTACGCCATTGATTCTTTGGGGGTTTCTTTGGACTGAGTCTCTTGACCGCTATAAATGTTCCAGATTTTTTCACAGAGTAAACAGGAAAATTGTGAGAGAAAGAAGGACGTGACATCTGCTATAGTTTGAATGTGGTTTGTGCTCCAAGGCGCATACGCCAGGAGCTGAGTCAGCAGGGTGGTGCTTTGAGCAGTGTGGTGGTCCTTTAAGAGGTGGGGCCTAGTGGGAGATCTCAAGCCTGGCTCCACCCCTGTAACCTGGCTTCCTGTCCGTCTACATAACGGTTCCCTCTTTTATTCAGCTCCTAGCACTGTGGTTCCCTCTGTCATAAGGTAATAAAGCCAAGGAAACCCTCACCAGAGCTGGCACTAGGCTGTTTGGACTTTCTGGCTCCCAAACGAAGCTAAATAGAATTCTCTTCCTGAAAGTACCCACCTCGGGCTTTTCATTATTGTAACAATAAAAGGACCCATACCCCATCCGGTTCGGGTATTTCAAGCTAAAGTCATCGTTAGCTGGTATGAGAAACGGCACTGAGGAGAAGAGTCGGGATGGATGGGGGTTTTCTGAATTCTTTATTATCAGTCTTGCTCCCGAAAGCAGTGAGGGCCACAGAGAAATAAAAATGAGTCCCAATCTCCAGAAGCCAGGCGGGCCCACGTTTCCGGTCTTCTCCATGGTCTGGTGTCAGCCCAGCTTGATGAAGAGCAGCAGGGTGGCAAGGATTCCCGGCAACTGGGATGGAGAGGAAAGAAACACTGAGGTCTTGCTGGAGACCCCGAAACCAGCCCAAACTGGAGTCATGGAGTAGGGGGAACCTCCCGAGGCAGAAGTTTACATGGGGCTGCAGGTCTGTCTGGGCCAAGTTAAAGCCGCGTTGGTCCTGTTGACACAGGGACCCAGCAGTGGGTACAGGGCGTAGGCCTTGTCATGGTGCCTGTGAGTCACTGAGCCTTTACTTTGCTCAGATCTTATGTGTGCTCTTCTGATTCCTGATTTCCAGGCTCTTTTGCCTCTGACTTCCTGTGAGGTCTGGCCACTAGGAAGCACAGGCAGGAGATAGGGGAGGGCAGGAGAAGTGGGGTTAGGGGTGTTCTTTGACCGCCTCTCTTCTGCCCATCCTGAGCTCTCCACATGCACACTGTGGACAGACGGCCGCCCCTGGTTTCTTGTGGATCTTCTTCCTAGTTGTTCTACCCATCATTAAAAGTGTGGCATAAAAATCTCCAACAACTACTGCTGACTTGTCTATCATACTCCCCCATCAATTCCACCATTTTTTGTGTCATGTATTTTGGAGTTCCATTTTGAGGTGCATGTGTGTTTATATTAATGTCTTTTTGTTTGTTTTACACACACACACACACACATATATATATACATTTTATATAT